ACTGTGGGGGCGATATGCTGACTCTGTAAACCGCTTAGAGTGGGCTGAAAGCCCTATGAAGCGGTATATAAGTCTAACTGCTATTGCTAACTGCTATTGCTATTGATCTGGGAGATCCAGGTTCTCCTTTAGACATTGACCCCAGCTGGGTGACCTTGGGCCAGCCACACACACTCAGCCTTAAAACAGCATCAGGCTCTGCAGCAAGCCGACCGAACAACAGATCCCTAGTTGTACCATGCAGTGATGGCATCGCTGTGTAAACTGAGCAAGCAGAATGCAAAAAAAAGTGGATCCTGCAATGAATCAGGACAAATGATTAAAAAAAAAGATCTGCTACTTTTAGCTTTAGCAAGGGTTTATTTTTGTTTTCCTGATTTGGTAATGCACTTTCTTTGGTCTCACAGTATCTATAAAATTAACCTTTTTAGTCAGCTTATTCTGCTTTTCTTCTCATTATTTCCACAAGGGTTATTGATGGTTTTCAAAAAAAAAAGAATAATAATCTTCTGGCTTAATATCTCTATAGGTCTCATCACCCAAACCATCATCAGATGACAAGGCAGCAGAGGAAGAAGTGGAGAAGATCCCTCCTTATGATGAAGCAACTCAAGCTCTAATTGATGGTAGGCTGATGAAAGTACAATATCAAACTTTTATGGTTGAGGAAGGATCTGGGCAGAAGCAGGTTTTTGCACATAGACTTGAAGGTTAAGAAAGAGACAACGGCCCTGGTTCATGATTGCTGCCTTAAAACTTTGTGGTAAGGATGACAGTTATAAATGCAACATATATTTACTAATTTTGATAGCTCATATAAAACAGAAACACTAGAATAGTCTACTTTGAATCTGTCTTTGAATAAGTAACCAAAAGATGATAAATATTTTCAAACATCAAGAGGAGATGATAAGGGTGTTTCAAAGTAAATATTGCAATATTTTTCATAAATTATTTTACAATAGTTCACCAGAGACGGGATTAGGCTACAACTCCTAATCTCCTAATCAAAACTCCTATAAGTTTGGCTTATATTATGTGGTGTTTTGGCAACTTTGCTGTTATGGTATCTTGAAGAAAGTAATATGGGGCAGCTGATACCTCACATGACTTTTTATATACCGTTTTTTTCGGTCTATAAGATGCACCAGTGTATAAGACTCGCCAAAATTTCGAAGAGGTAAGTAAGAAAAAAAAAGGTTTTGCTGGGGAAAGGCAAAAAAAGCCTGTTTTTTTGTGAAAAACAGCCCATTTTTTTTCAAAAATGGCATTTTTACTTTACCCCAGCCCTGCTAAAGCCTGCAGAGGAATGCTGAGGACTGAGGGAAGGCAAAAAAGCCTCAGTTTTTATTAAAAAATGATCTGTTTTTTTGCAAAAACGGGGGCATTTTTGCCTTGCTGAAGCCTTCAGAGGGCTGCTGGGAGTTGTTTTTTGCAAAAATGAGATGGGGGGGGGGCTTCGGGAGGCCAAAAGTGGCTGTATTCAGTGTATAAGACACACCAACATTTCCACGCTCTTTTGGGGGCGGGGGAATGCATCTTATACTACGAAAAATACAATATTTATTTGTCATTGTAAGCCAAAGTAATGTCTGTCTTACCCCTTGTGGATCTGTATATTTGCAAATATATTTTATGTAATAAATAATAAATTTACATAATAGGGACAGTTTCAAGATCATGTGAAGTGATGGTACCGTTTTATATTGCATTAGTGAGACCATGCTTGAAATACTGCCTCCAGTTCTGGTCACTATGATACAGAAAATATGTAGAAAGAGTTCATAGAGCAGCAACAAAGATAATCAGGGATCTGGAAGCTACGGTCGCATGAAGTGGGTGTGTTTAGTCTAGTGAAGAGAAAGACTAGGGTTGGCCCAGTAGTTTTCTATTTGAGCGGCTGTCACAGATAAGACAGGGTTGACTATTTTTCAAAGTACCTGAGAACAAGAAGTAACAGATGGAAGATCATTAAAGAGAGATCCAACATAGAACCAAAGAATTTCTCTGACAGAATATTTCATCATTGCAGTTGGCTTACCTTCAGAAGGTGTGGGTGCTCCATCATGGCTTGTAAGGAGAGACTGGATGGTCATTTTTTCCAGAATGGTTTAGCGTCTCCTGCTTGAATACTGGGTTGGACTAGAACAGTGGCTCCCAAACTTGGCAACTTTAAGACTTGTGGACTTCAACTCCCAGAATTCTCCAGCCAACTCTGGGAGTTGAAGTCTACAAGTCTTAAAGTTGCCAAGTTTGGGAACCACTGGACTAGAAGATCTCCAAGGTCTCTTCCAACTCTATATTGTATGTTCTAAGTCTCTTTTTTTTTTTTCCAAGGAAAGATACTTACAAACACTTGGTTTTAAATGCTGATTTTAGATCCTTGATGTTGAGGATTGTGCCTTGTGTCACCTCAGAGGTGTTTCCTAAGAAATCATTTATGGTTATTGATGGAGTTGCTGCCGCTGGGTCCTTTGGAGATTTTTTTTATAGGCCCAGTGTTAAATAACAGATGGCAACTAATATTTTGAGGGGCCCTGTTGTAAGAGCTGGGGTGATATATGCTTCTGCACGCTTACATACACAAGCTGCCTGTACTGAATAGTTTTTGCTAGGAAGTTGCAACTATTTGGCTGCTCTAGGAACTTTTCTCCTAGGTTACGTTGAAGGATGGCTTTTGTTGAGCAAGTGTGACCATTCCAACTCTTGGCACAGAAACTTGGTCTCATGAAGTGGAAAAGGTACTGGACTAGGACCAAAGTTGGGGTCCTTTTCAATGATGTCAGATAATTGAAGAGAAGCATGCTGTGTCTCTTTATGTGTGCGGAGGTCCTTTTGGGCATTTCGTAACCCCAAACTCCTCAATGAGATCATCACACAATTTGATGCTATGCATGAAAAAGGCAGCTTTTTAAAGGATAGCCAAAAGCTGATTGTTGAGGAAATGCACCCGGGAGGTGGGGGTGGGATTCTGTAAAGAAGGCAAACTCAACTCACATATTTCCCCCCTGTTGTCTGTGCTGGAAAGGTTGCTTTAAAGCATTTTGCCGTCTGTTAAGAGTTTTAAAAAATGCTGTTAGAATGAAGATTTATTTTTTGATTGACAAATAGAATTCTGAACTTAAAACTAAATTGTAATTTTGTGCTCTATGATCATTATCCCAGTGTTTCTCAACCTTGGCAACTTGAAGATGTCTGGACTTCAACTCCCAGAATTCCCCAGCCAGCGAATGCTGGCTGGGGAATTCTNGGAACCAACACTCCCCATTTATCCGGGCTTGTGACTGGCTATGGTTTCCCATAACCTGGGCAGAATTCTAGCTAGAGGACCGCCCGAACCCATGCAAACCTCCAGCAGCTCATCCGAGCTGTATTGTTCATTGGAATGCTATGGGAAATACTCACATCTAACAGTGTTACAGCTAGTCAAGAAAATGTCACAACCCCATTTCAATAGCATCTGCCATCGTGGGCAACCTCAAAAAAAGAATATTTTTGACTTGGAAGAGTTACAGAAAAGTCCCACTTGGTGTCCAACAAGCATGGGGGTGTCTTTCTCTTAGAAGTAAGGTGAGCAAGTTGGGAGATGATAGATACACAGACGTAGGAATGATGGAGATATTAAAACTTAAGTTTTTTTAAAGTGTTAGAGTGTGCAGAGATGGACAAACTCACAAAAGAAATAAAAGAAAAGGAGGAAAAAAGAATATTATATAGTATGGAACGAGTGGTACAAATGGCTAGAGGATAGGTGTAAAGCTTAAGGAAAGACTAAATGAAGAAGAGCTGGAAGGAGCTAGATAATAGCAACATATAGGTAGAGATGAACGAACATGTACACATGGAAATGGTACATAATGAAGGATTGTAAATTAAGGAATGTATATGATAGTATCCTATGTACAGACGAAGAGAAATGGAAATAGGGGTGGGGGGAAAGAAGTATATTTAATATGGGGGTATATTGAGGTGGAAATGTAGAGAAGGAAATTGCAAAAAAAAAGTCTTTAAAAAAAAACCTGCTTAATAAAATTTATTTTTTTAAAAAAACCTTAAGAGTCCTCTAATGAAGATAAGGAGGAGATTGAAGACAATGTCATGGAATCTGCCACTAGGAGATAGAGAGATGGTCATCAGCATGAAAGGGTTGAAAAGGAGATTAAACAAATACATACTCAGTGGTGGGATTCTACCAGTTCGGACCAGTTCAGGCGAACAGGTACCTCCAAAGATCAGCTGGGAGCGAACCGGTTCTACCCCATGAGCAAGTGGGCCCCCATACCCACCTCTATGCTTGACCTGCATTTATCTTGTCAGCTGAGTCACACGGGAAAGTGGATTGCAGCCGCTCAGCTGTTTTCCTTCCCAAGCAGTAATCCGGAAGGTACCATATTTTTCAGAGTATAAGATGTACCGGAGTATAAGACACACCAAGGTTTTGAAGAGGCAAATTTTTTTTTAAAAAAAAA